ACGAGTAAAATTTAAGTTTAATGTCAAAATTTGAAAGGTTTTACCTACCACTTTTACGAGCCCCATGTTATTCTAATGGGGAATAACATTGGAATTTACAGACTTGGTATGCTCATCTGAACCATTCGGACACGTGCCAGAGACTTGAAATTTGAATAGGATCTGGAACTTCACCTTAAGTTATCCAGAAAATTTTCAAATATCCCATTTTCAAATTTTATCCCCCTTAAAAATCCAAAATGGTGGACATCTGAAAACGGCTATAACTCAATAACGGTAAGACCTAGTAAAGAATTGAAAGATTTTTCACAGTCAGAAATTAATACACATTTTCCCAAAATCACACCCTTTCAACCCCAAAAAATTTCCTACTCCTTAAATTTAAAAAAATGTTGGGTTTTCGATTAGTTTTAAATTGTTTAAATCATTTTTCGGACATATATTTTTAATTTTAATGCTCTCAACTCTGAAGGAAAACTCCCAAAAGTGACATTTAAATAATGTCATCCCTTCAATCAAATGTAAAATGGCGGATTTTCAAAATATTCAAAATATTTTATATGCCACTAATTGAGGAATGGTATACTATCACTCATTAAAATACTAATACTATCCTATATATAGGATAGTACTAATATCCTAATACGTACTAATATCCTAAATATTTGAGAAATTTGCATTATAAAATATTTCTCCCCCCCCAACAAATTATGCAACCTCCCCCACAAAACTTCTCAAACAAATTTCATTGTGCTTAGGACTTATGATTGTAGGATTGTATTAGGACTTAACATATCTTTCAAAACTATAAGTCTTCAGTTATAACCAAGGAATAATTAAAAAAATATATACACTAAATTGAACCCCCCAATATTTCTCTATAAAACTCTTCACGTGCATTGGACTAAATTATTATAGACATGAAAAATACTTGACATTTAGCAGGATTGTTACCCCAAAGTTTCAACATAAAAAAATCTTTAAATCTTAACGTTATTTTTATATGTCTTGGTTTCTTGACTTCTTGAAGCTTCTTGGTCTTGGCCTTTCACCCCCCCCCCCTGCCACAAGTTTAAAATTCACCTCCTTATGTTATTTTTATGGAGAGTAAGCTTGAAAGTGGCTTACTTTGGTATGCTTATCTGAACCGTTTAGAAACGTGCTAGAGGACTTGAAATTTGCCTAGGATGTAGTGAGTAATCTAAGAAGCCACCACCCTTCAATAGAGTATATATGTAAATATAATATGACGTATCAATGTGCATTTATTGATGAAGATGTCAGTCAGATTTCATGTACCACAGCTTGATGTTTCGGACTTGAAAATGGGTCTTTGTTCATTTTTAAATTTTTCATTAATTTCTCTTTGCTTAAAAACGTTTGTATTAAACAAAAATTTGCAATGTTTCATGTTTTATTTATCATAAACTCTATCAAGATCTCCTCAAGAATATATATATATGAATTTCAACGGATGGTGTTTTTGGCCTCTGGGGGCATCAAAACGAAAAAGCAATCGGTCCTGGGTCCAGGTCTTAGGCCTACCATACACGTTCCGGTTTTCCTTCAGTCCCGGACTGAAGGAAAAACTGAACGTGTGTGTCGATTCCTTCAGGCAGATCGTTGAGGCCGAATTGAACGTGTATGGCGAATCCCGCAGTCCAAGACAGTGCTGCTTCCCCCCTCCCACCACATTTTCAGCATTATCGCATGTGCATGTGACTTTTTTACTTCAATAAGCAAAGAATACCACAACAGGTACATGAGGGAAGCATCTTATAAAGAGTTATTAGATTCATGAACAAATCTGACACAAAAGGAACAAAGGACACTGTGGTGAAAAAATAAACAACTTACAGAGTGCATTTAGAAAAGAGTTAAAAAAGTAAAATCTTTACAAAAGTGGTACTTCAGTGAGCTTAACTTCCTATTAGACCAAGAGGAGGCAAGACGACTCCTGCCAAACTGTGCAGTTCCGGTCTGAGCATGTGTGAGGCCGGAGGTCACGACTCCGGCCAAACTGTGCAGTTCCGGCCTCAAGGCTTGGCCTTCAGTCCGGGACGGAACATGTATGGTAGGCCTTACCATGACACCTGTGGTAATAGCTTATTCCTTATATGGGAAATTCGCTAAAAATAATAACAACTGCAATAAATTATCATAACACTTAAAGAATACAGGAACTTTAATGTCCTATCCTTGATCAGATGATTAATAACAAAGAATAACAAAAAATACCACAATTTATTGAATGGCTTCACCGTTTAGTGTTCAGACATTTTTTTGAAATCTAGGTTTTTGTAAGATAACACTCTTACTTAAATTGTGGTGTTAATTTTTTTGTAAAAGAGTTATGTTGGCAGCACTAAATAGATGGTCCTAAAGACGGAAATTAGATTATACCAGGGAAATAACATTCCTGGGCTGGCTTCCTGAGTAATTTTATTGTTGACAGTTATTTAGTTATATGAACAGAAAATACTTATTTCTTGAGCCGAAAACTTTTTTTATGTCTTCTATGAATGAAAGATCAGAGATATGAGTTGGTAAGACGTTTCACAACTTGAATATCAGTTCCAGACCAATAACAAAAAAAAAAAAAAAAAAATAATGTTAACTTATGATATAAATATTTTACCTAAAAGATTGTTTATAAAATAACTTTTTTTTTATTTTGGCACTTAGAAAAAAATGATTTTAAGTGCATTACCGTTACAATTTTGAAAATCCCCTCCCCCATCCTTGTAATGCTAAGCCTAACCCCTCCCCCGTCCTTAAGCGTTACGCAATATTTTGACTGCCCCTAACATACGTGTTCACACACTTCACTCTCTACCCCACCTATGCCTATCATACGCCATTTCGCCAATCCACGGCTATCTGATTGAAGTAGTATACTTTCAGCTCCCCCGTCAGTCCTGAATAGGATTCTATGCACCTGATAGGAGGGTAGAGAGTTCCAAAGGCGGCATGCTATTACTATAAATGATCTATTAAAACCAGAGTAGCAAATGACGTGCGGTGATGTGCTGCGTTACGAGGGTCGACGTAGTTTTTCTGAAACACTCACAGATAGCTGCACTGTCTAGAACTACAGGCGATGTCAGCATTAACCAGTAAACTTCAGCGTGGCAGAAAGGAACTAGAGCACTCACCGGTGAGTAGCCTGCAGCTAACGTGTTAAAATGGGAGAAGTACTGTTGTAAGTTTTAATTTCAAACTGTTTCTTTTTTGAACCTACTCTACTGCTCATAGCTATTTTTCAGTGGAAAAGTTTTAGAGTAGGGAATGAAGTAAACAAACAAATGAGTCATCTGTAGAAATGAGCCCATGAGATCGCAACAGGAGCTAGTTGGACAGAATAAAGGATTGGTATTTCCTGTTGAAACAAGACACAGTAAAATACAGTATCGATGTTTTGAATCATAACAAATCTCATACAACTTTGATTAATAGAGGGTTTCTTGCTATTACTTTGACTTATAGAGGTACGGAAATTGCACAATTTCCAATTATAGAGGTTTTTTGACTAAAAATTCGATTTATAGAGTTACTTTTACAACAGAAAATACAATAAAACTTTAAATTATTAAGGTATTTCTCGTGAACTATTTGAATTGTTAAAATGATTAACATTGCAACAGATAGGAAGTTCAAGGGGAATAAACAAAACTCAATTTATCAAGGATTTTGAATTATTGAGGTTCGATTTATTGAGGTTCCACTGTACAGTAAGTTTGAGCTTGTTCGTTGCAGTTTTATTGTCAAAGCCACAGTCATTTTATTTACCACGGTATTACAGTTTGAAGTGGAGTGAAACACGAGTGACTTTATCAGTAAAAGTCCAACATGAAATGGTAAAAGTCATTGAATTTTCTTCAGTGTGTCGACACCGAAAAATACCCTTTTACAGGTTTCAACCACAGTGTCAGTCCGGTCAAGAGTGTTGTGTTTCGTCAAAAAAAGACTTTTGATTTTGTCTTGGTATGGCAGCACAGTTATGTTAGGCCCCCCATACACGTAACGATCGGCCGGCCGGCCCGGCCTGAACAGTCCACGCCGGCTGGCCGATCGTTACGTGTATGGGGTCGTCGTCCGGCCGCCGGACGACCAAAGTGGCCGGACGACGACTGATGGGATTCCCATCAGTCGTCGTCCGGCCAACCCCCGCCTGCAGGCCGATCGTTACGTGTATGGGGTCGCCGGCAGGCCGCCGGAAGGCCGACAGTACAGTAGTAGCATTATTTTTTTATTTACGTTCATTTTTAAGGTCATTGACATAACCGAACTTTATTTTCTGTTCAGTCTTTGTACTAATATGGCTACGTGGACTAATCAGCATGTGCTAGCCTTTATAGAAGAATACAGAAAGCATGAATGTCGGAGGAGGGTCAAAACAAAGGCATACCATAACAGGGATTTAAAAGATCCAGCTTATAGCAAGTTAACAAAAACGTTTTTGCCGTACGAAAACTGACTGCATACTTGCCACTAGGCGGAGAAATTTCAGTCCGGCCGGCAGGCGAATCGTTGCGTGTATGGGGACCCTCCTTTCACAGGCCAAACTGTTCAGTTTGGCCTTCCGGCCCTCGCCGGCCGGCCGATCGTTACGTGTATGGGGGGCCTTAGTTCAGATGTTTTGGTCAAATATGTTTTGGTCAGTCGGTTGAGTAGTCTTGCATAGCCAATGATGATTGGTTTGGTTTTTTCAGGGTTTAGTTTCAGTCCATTCTTTGCTGCCCACTCCACAGTTCTGTTGATGTTGTTTTATTAATGCAATTGTTTCATTTGCCTCTTTGAAGTGAGCGTGAATTTGTAAGTCATCAGGGAGTAAGAATGAAGCTGGGAGTGTTGTAAAACTAAACTGGTGTTGTTTATGCAGATAGTAAAAATTAAAGGGTCAAATATTGATACTTGAGGAGCTCCACAAGGTATCTGCCTCCAGTCAGGCATTATAACCTGTAGTGAAGACAGTAATTATAACTATGTTGTTGTTTTAGTAAATCAAGAGACTATACCAAAAGCCGATCCCTCAGCAATGCCGAGACAGCTCTCAAAGGCAGCAGTTTAACATCTCGCCGACCTTCAGCTACATCCTCCACTTACACATCTCCAGTGCTGGATATATCCAAGTAAGAGTTTGATATAGTTTGACTAAGTATTGTAACCTGGTAGGCACCAGGAAGATACCTGTACACCAGAGTCTTTCTAATACAAACTAATTGGGACCAGACCAGATTACCACATTGTTAGGATTAAAACTGTAAATTTGTACGCAGTAAAATTGTATTAACAAAATGAAGCATTGTACAATCACAAAAACACCCTGATTATGATGACATTGCGATTGTTTTCCACCATCACGACAAAACCCATGATTGCGTTCTTCTTCCTACACATTGACCTTAAAAGAGAACCAACCAACTGAACTCTGTTAATGAATAGCCACTTGGCCATAGGCTATTGGCAATGATTCAAAAGTTCTGGGTTCCAAACTGTATTTGCATACAATTCTCAGCTTTCCCAGTTGGCTGGACACCCTAATTTAATTTCAAACCATTATTGAACCATTTCCCCAGTTACTTATGGGAGATAAACCATTCTCTGAGATCGTGTACCCTCCATCTGTGAAGCAGGTGGTCTGCTTTTTATGCCATGCTGTTGAGAGTGTTTTGCAACTGTTTGTTTGTAAGTCCTACTATCTTTGTGAGCGACTCCTTATCCAAGACAAGATTACCCAGCCTAAATCACATTGTGACTGTGTGTGAAGTTATGAGAAATAGTTACTCTTATTTTGGACCAAAGTTGTACGAGGATCGTCTACAAATTAAGTAGATATACAAAACAGGTATATTGACCCCTTCCTACCAACACATAATCATATAGTGTGATTCATATTTGGTTGTAGCGTCAATTTTCTTTCAAGACGTTTTTGAATACTATGACGAGACTAATTGTCCCATAGGGGGGAACCGGCTAGAATAGTTGTGAATGAAGTTAGTTAGTGTGGTCCTGTTGGAGTTAGGGGATCTTTATTGGTCTCAGATTTGAACCCTTGGCTGCGACATGAGCTCGATTTAGACCTTATTTATGGACCACCCTCATTCAATGCGCTATTGGAGACACTAAAATCAGATAAATCTAGCAAAAAGTTTTAGAAAAAACTGAAAATTGTTTAAAGATAATTTAATAACTTATATTTGAGATATTGCCAAACTAATGTAATGTAATACTTAATTTAAAAGTTCAAAAAGTTGAATACAAAATATTATTATATATTGGCCTTTTTGAGCCCTTAAATTAAGTATTACATTACATTTAAAGATAATGTTCAGTACATTAGGCAATAGTTGCTGCTATACAATTCTGGTATATTAAGAGAAGCAAGTTAAAAATTAAAAAAGTAAAGGTAATTTGATTTGTTTGTAGGTATTCCCCTTCAAACTATGTGACTGGGTCAGCTCGCTCGTCATCAATCTCCTCGACTTCCTCTGCAGGGTCCACCACAAGCAGGCCTCCAAGAGGCTCCTTCAGCTCTCTACGCGACCCTTCCTACACCCCCTCCACATCTCTGCGTTCCTCCAGATACACTGAACAGGTTTGTTCTCATTCAACATGTCAACATTTTAAAAGCTCTTGGCTTGAATCAGTACAAAATATCACCAGAAATTTAAACTAAACTTATGTGTTACATGTTTTTTGTCTGTGTATATAATAAGGGTATCTCCTTTTTCTCTTAACTCAACAGCATTTGAATAAAGGATACAATGATGGTTGCCTGAAGAAGATTTAATTTTAAAAGTCAATGTCAAAACAGGGTGAAGGTTAGGTACATCACTTGGCAGTTAATGTAATTTGAATCGGTCAATGGTTGATCAGAAATTCAAATGCTTTAATTAAATGATCAAAAAAGAAGAAAAGTATTGGCTTGTGAGAACTTTTCTACATCTTACTTCACTTGAAAAATCCCCATGAAATCTTTCTATAAATGTGTTTTTTGCATAATACTTAGACATGAGTTAAAACACATGAAGCTTTATTTAGCCTGTATTATGTCAAGTAGAGACAAGCTAGCTGACCATATGAATAGAAGAGGATAATGGCAGAGTCAAGCCCTATGAGTAAATCCCACTAGTCCTCACTGATTACACCACTTAAAAGTAGGAAAGGAATATATTGATTTATTTGAAAATTCAATTAAGTCATTAACGGAGAAACAAGCAAGGTTCTGTATAAAAAAAAACAAAAAAACAATTGTGTGTTGTCCCATGTCAATCAGCTGACTTTAAATGTTAAAAGTAATTGCATATTTTTCCAATTTCCTCACTTAGCCATAATTTGCCTGATTAATATAATATAGGCAAACAATTGTTACATTTTCAAATCATTCATTACATTTCCACTCCTAAACGGTGTATTCAGTGAGGCTTGACTGTGATTTACTCGCAACGCCAGCACAGCCATTTTCTTTTTTTACCCCTTTGGTCAACTTACACTACAGCTAGCTTGCCTCAACTTAAAGAAAGACAGGCTACAGTTATATTGCTTGGCAAAATAATATATGCTTGTTGAGCCTTATGACTAAGTATAAAAATATACATTTTATGGAGGATCTGTTTTCACCATCTTTTCTTTTCATTTCTAAATATTTAGACTTAATGGGATTTTTTAGTCCAAAAGAGCCGTTAAACGTTTTCTCTCTCCTTTAGTGCATAGTGCAACAAACACGGGTTTCGTTGGTTTTTTATTGCTCAGTTATTTAAAAAAGAAATTTTAGTTCCTTTTATTAAAAATTCTATCCTTAAGTTACTTAAACCCATTAGCGACCTATCACGGGTATTCTTGTGATGCCTTCACGTGGCCCAAAACCACCATCACGAGTTATCTCGAGATGTCGGCATACTTTATTGTTATTCTTTTAAGGGCGGCCCCAGGGGGTCGTGACACCCCCAAAATATTTTTTTTACAGATCATTTATTATATATTTAAGGGGAACTTTAATAATTTTTATTGCAAGTCATTCAACCTAATTCGTTGTAGTCTATAAAATACACTTGTGGCGAAACTATAGGAATGAATACTTACTCTAACCTAAAACTCGGTATCGTTTGAGTCTATAACTATATTTTGTACGAATTGTACGTTGTGAGAAGTAAAGATTGGCAGACGATGGACGCTTTGGGTCATTTACGGCAGTGGCCGATGCTGGCATTTGGCCGCATTCTTCTTCTTATTAATTTAATTCTCCTGCATTAATGTTATCATTTACCTAGAGTATTGAAAACTTGAAAATGAATATTGGATAGAGAAGAGTTTCAAAATAATATAAAGAATAAAGAGGTTGTATTAATAGAAAAAGCTTGAAAGGTAGTTGAATGTTAATTTATCCGAGTTAAACACTAAGAATTTGAAATTACAGTAGGCCCTAATGTAATTCATTGATTACCGTTCCGTTAGCCAATTTTAAAACTTCCAATATTTAAATAGTATTCATATTTTCTTAATGATTAGAGGACCTGATATCATATTTAAGATTAGCAAAACCCAATATGAGAACAAATTCTGTAGGCCAAATCTACATAGTCACCGTGGCAGTGAGTGAAGGCGATGGGCTGCTGCTTATTGGGCAGTTATAATGCAGTCGTGTTGGGTGCAAGTTCTCAAACACTTCTTTGATCAAATAAGTTCTGGTTCAAGCTTTTTGGTCTGATTTTGGAATACATTTTATTTTTGCCATGCACATCGGCAACAGTTGAAAGAGTATTTTTGCGAATCAATAATGCTTGGGGAATAGGTCCTTGATGCCCATTACAAAAACTTCAATTCTATGCATTTTTAAAATTTTAAACTGAATGTGTTGTATTTTTGCTGTATTCCTACGATGTAAAAACCATGTGTTAATGAAATCCCACAAGTCTCAATAATTCAAAAACTGCATTGCATGTTTATTTGTTTAACATTTCTTTAAATAAACTGGAAAGCTTTACACGTTAGGCCAATTAAATTTTATATGCCTCAAAATAGCTTTAAAATCGCTCATTTATACAGATAATTTAAAATTTTTCTCGGGGTAGGATCCCCAGATCGCCCTCTTTACAATACCCCCCAGGCCCCCCCGGTAACCGCCCCCAAAATATAGGTCTAGGACCGCCCTTTCATTCTTTTACTGTTATTTAGAATAATTTTTGTAGCTTTTATACAACATTTAGGGCTATACAGAACATCAAATTTTTTAAAAAGCAATTTAAAGTAAATTATTATATGCCGTAATATTTATATTAATTCCGTAATACTGACCTATTTCGTTCTCAGCTGTTGATCACTACGTCGCTAGCTAGTGACGGCGTATTAGTCAGCTGTCACAATTGTAACAACAAATTTGTGTTATTATGTTTGTAAACATTACGTGTGTCTGTGTTTTTAAATAATACGTATATTTCCATAAAATTTGATGACAAATTAAACAATGAAGTGTCAGGCTATTCCCAGCTGTGTAAAACATTGTACTGCGCCACAAATATTGTAAATCATTGTATGCGGATGATTCCCAGTTGCACTTGTCTTATGAGCCTGGTTACATGAGTGAGGCCATCGACAAGATCAACACTGATCTGGAGAACATCTCCAAATGGTCTAACATTAATGGGCTTAGGTTAAATCCAGACAAGTGCACTGTACTTCATACTGCCCCTGTGAACCTAGTACCGACACTAAGAGATAATGGCTGGAGTTTGGCGGTCTGTGACAAAGTCAAAACTCTTGGCGTCATTATTGATAGAAATTTGAATAATGACACGCCGGCCGGCCGATTGTTACGTGTATGGGGTCGTCGTCCGGCCAACCCCCGCCTTCAGGCCGATCAATACGTTTACGGGGTCGCCAACAGTAGTATTATTTTGATTTACGTTCATTTTGAGGTTAGGCACGGTCATTGACATAATCTAACTTTATTTTCTGCTCAGTCTTTGAGTTGTGCCATATATCGAGTGTTTTGTATTGTTCAGTGACAGTGCCTAGTGTAGATAGAGTAATGAATAATTAACTTTTATTTTAAGAGTAAGTAAATAATTTTTCCAATCTTTGGGATACAGTCCAAATTCTTCCAATAAATTGACATTGGTTGATGCTGTTCTGTTAATTCACTTTTATGCCATAATCCCCTTTTCTTCCTCTTTTTCCATTTCTGCAGTGCTGCTAAAATCGCAGCATACGCCATCAACTCCTCCATATGAGACATGTCACACTACAGCACTGTTCACAGCAGCTGCAAAACGCTTACTGATTGCACGCACACTTGCCGCCAGGCGGGGAAGACTCAGTCTGGCCAGCGGGCGAATCGTTGTGTGTATCCCTCCTTTCACAGCACAGTTTGGCCTTCCGGCTCTCGCCGGCCATCCGATCGTTACGTGTATAGGGGGCCTAAAGATCATATCACGCATGTCTCCTAACGAGCAATAGGAAGACTGAGAGGTACAGGTTCAGAGGTACACTGCCTGAGGCTGCAAAGCTTCAACTCATGCAGTCACTGATATTGTCAGTAGTTAAATGCTGCTTTCCCTGCATATGGCAATAGTATCACTAAGGAAGACATGTGTAGAATACAGCGAATTCAAAGCTCAACAATCTGATTTGTATTCTGCCTTAACAAATTTGATCATGTTTCCCCCTTCCGTGAAGCAGCCAGGATGTTGCCCATGGAAGCCTTTTGCAGGTTTTTGACGTGCTGCATGACTCACAGGGTACTGACTCTCCGTGAGCCCGACTATCTTTGCGAGAAGCTTTCTGTCCGGGATGAGATCATGCAATGTAGGATACATTATGATGGGAGGCTTCACTTTCCAAGTGTCACCTTGGAATTGGGAAAGAAAAGTTTCTCATATTTTGGACGCACATTGTAAAACGGACTATACGAGAGCCTAAAAACCTTTGCATCAAGCAATGCCTTTAAGATTAAGTTTAAAACGTTCTTAAAAGATATAAATGTTTAGTTGTAAGTGCAGTAGTTGAATTACAAAAGTTGTTCTGGAAAACTAATATGTATTAGAGAAACACTGGCTAATTAAGACATTTTTATTTATTTATATACAAAATCAGGGCTAAAGTCCCTACATTGACAATTGGTATATGTCACCGAGACTATGTGAGATGCTAGTAGCTAGAGACACCCATGTTATTGGAACAGGCGATTACAAGAGAACAAATATGCTAGTTGATTTTCCATGGAGCTGGAAAGAAGTGAAGCTTAATACTATACTTTAATACTTTTTGATGAAATGGCGACCATACAATGTAGGTATTTTAAGCCAAGTATGAATGGAGATGAGTGTAGGATGAGTGGCGCGATCTTGTAGTCTTGTTAGTGAATAAGGCCGACATATTCCTTAGACACAGCTGTTAATTAATAGCCCATACAGCTAATGGCAACTAAAAGACCTACAGTTTATTGTAGGATCCGAATCACATTTTTGCCTTGGTATATACGAATTGGTCTAATTATCAGGATAGTACTGCGAATAGTCGTAGTACTCACTCGTGCGGACGTTAATCCACACCAGAGAGTATCGCATCCACAGTGCATGCCTATAAATATCCACAATT